TATATATATAATTTTGTTTTTAACCACCTTGTCACACAAAGAAAGAAAACTCAGGCATGTATTTATAAATAGATATCCTCAGTTGCTTTCTTTATCCTGAGACTGGCCACTAACTCACATTTCTATTTCTTACTAGAGGATTCTGAAATTTGTTGACAGTGCTAAAGTCTAAGGTTGGACCCAGAATGAATAAGAGGGGGCTGTAGTTTTTCACGATGGTTCCTGTCAACAGTGGCCCTAATCATGACCCCCAGTCTGTCAGTCAGAGAACTGGGGTGAAATCTGTTTGAAATCATAACACAGTTAACAAGTGGGAGGCTGTGTCTGCAATACTCATAACCCAGTGCTAAGCACATGATAGGTGCTCAATAAAAATGGGCTAGGCAGGGCTATAACTGACTCAGCAGGAAAGCACTTGTCTAGCATAGGCAAGGCCTTGGGTTTCGTTCAGCTCCAGCACTAAGATAATAGAAGGTGCATCAGACAATTGGTCAGTGAGTAAGCCTCTCCTATCCCATCCTCTAACCACGGAGATGACCCTCCTTACAAACATCCATACACACAAAAGAAAGCACAGCTGACCTCCCCTGGGGGGTAGTTCCTAAAAGAACAGACAGATGAGTTCTCCAGAACATCTTGTTCATGTCTCAAAATAAGATCCACCTCTCATTTCAGGGTGCATTTATTTTAGTGGTCAGGGGAAGGATTTTGTAACGAAAACAATGAATGAGCCCATATTGTGGGAACAGGAATTAAAATAAGCAATGCCTTACCATCTGCAGACATAGATGCCTTCCCATCCTGCTGCCTTTTGTGGGGCCCCATTCTGCTCTATCTGCTCCTTTTGTGCTTTAAAAATACAGGTTGGGGAGCAGGTCAGAGAGTGAGGCTGGGATAGCTTTTGCTCTGCTAGCAAGCTTGCACTATGTTCTTGGCATGTAATGCACATTGCCACACAAAAGTCCTACTGTAACCTCATTAGGGGGCTGCCATTGTTACCATCCTTTTTCAGGAAGACAATACTGTGAACCAGGATGGGGGACAGAAAAGGTGATCTTGCACAAAGTAGCTGAGGAAAAGCCAGTTGAGCTGATACAGAACAGTGAGCTGGTTTCTAATCTATTTCTCTCTGCCGAAGGAGGTCACATGGAAGCCTCTTGGTCCTCTGCAAGATCCACAAGCTGCTGAAGTACCCTGGAACTTGGGAGACACCATGCCAGCTCTGTGTGCCTCTCTGGTCCTCGTGGCATTTCTAGAAACTGGAGGTGGGCAAGGAGGAGTGTGAAAGAGGAGAAATGGGAATGCATGCTCTTAAATAAGATCTCTCCCGCTCCCTTCCTGCCTCAAGTGAAGCCTGGCATGATGAGTAAGTCGAGATGGAGTGATGCCAACCAAGCAGCAGAGTAGGCACAGACTTTCCCAACTCAGTCCCCAAAAACTCCCTGTCTTCCAAGGTTAAGGCTAGGAGCCCAAGATCAGAAAAGGAGTGTAGACATCTAGTAGTCAGACTGGGATAAACTGCCCATCCCACACTTCCAGGCTGTGTGAACCTGGACAAAAGAGCCAGCATCTCTGAGCTTCAGGTGGCTGATCTGTAAACTAACAATTCCCACCTCCTAGGTTTGCTCTGAAGATGGAGTGGATGGAGCTGAGAGGCAGTAGGACCCACACTGAAGCATTGGAATACCCATCACTGTTATGTTGACTGCACTGTTGAGTGTCTTTAGATGACATATGCACTCAATGTATATATGTTTTATTATATAATATGCAAGCCTATACCAACGATTAAAATGGCAACATGGTATGGGTGGGGCACTGAAGAAGACACAGGCCCTGGCATTCCCTCTGGTTTTTAATCACCATGGTGCCAGCAATATCACCTGCCTCCACCCTCAAAAGTGTGTGTAGCATTCGGGTAGACTGATCTCTTGTGTCTCATCCCAAATCCCAGTCAGTGAAGGTAGTGTTCCTCCAGTTTGCATGATGAGGACAAAGCTGTCCAAAATGCTCACAACTAATGGTCCTTTTCCTTCTTTAGAGGCCTGTTTCCTGAGAATGTTCACTTGTTTCTATGGTGACTCATGAGTTCAATGGTTGCTTCCCAGAGTAATAACCTATGTATTAAGTCAGACAGAGGAAACTCCTGGAGCTGGCTTTAGACTGAATGACTTCTCCACAGCAGGCAGGAAGGTTTGGAATCTCACCCAAGGGCAGTTACTGAGAAGCAAAAGGATTTCATTAAAGGCATTTTCTTCTATGAGAGTGGACTGATTCTTTTGATTGTTGTGGTTATTAATATTAATAATAATATTTTTATTATTTCATGATCCAACATGCCAGTGTTCTGTGTTTTCAGTTTTAATTTGATGCTTCCCACCAGACTGCATCATCTACAGGCTTTTTAGGTCCCTAATTCCTGCCCTTCCAGGAACTATAAAGCAGGACCCTCCATCTATGTCCTTCCTGGGCTAAGTGAAGAAACTAGAGACCCCAGGTCACAAGGCCAGTCAGCAGCTCGGCGGAGGTAGCTGGAAGTCCCGGCTCACAGACATACTCAGACTACATCTCACATTTGCATGTAGCTCTTGTGATCTTGGCATACTGTCTAGAAAACCGTCCTCAGCAGGCACATCTCAGAGCCAGGAAGAGACTTTTCCACTCAGCAATAAGAGAATACGATTCCAATGAGAAGCCCGGGTCTCGGGATCTAATTAGGGATATCCCCACACACAGGTGCACTTACACACAAGCATCGAAGAGTGTGCAGGCGACCACTAGATATATTATATATTAGAAATGTGTGCTTATGCTCTAAATATATGACAGTTGTTTTCAAACCCAGCGCCTTGCACGATGCGAATACATCTCCACACAATATTTTTAGAACATTATCTAACAATGTCTACAAAATAAATTATTCATGCTCTTTTACTTGGCAATTCCTCTTCTGGTAATATGAAACTATCTATAGAAATGGAATTTCACAAATATATGGATGACAGTGTTTATGAAAATATTGTTCAGAATGGCAAAGAAAGCATCCAGGTGATCCATTAGGTCCTTTGGCTAGGTCTACTATAAAGCCAACAGAAAACTGAATTTTACCCAAATGGCTATGCAATTTCCCTTATTACAGAGCTGAAGGGATGTCTACCGTGTGTTACTATAAGAACTAAATTGCAAAGGGATAGAGTTATTTAAAAGAATTTCTTATAGGAACATCACCATCCCTCTAATGTGTGACTACAAGTATACACCCATTTGTTTATGTGTAGTGTGGGATGAGCTTGCAGAAAAATGTGTATGGGGGTGGGGGTGGAGGGGTGGTCCATGAAGGACAAAAGGAGAAGAAATGTCTGCTGTTTTCTTTGTTGGTATTTCAAAGTTTTCAGTGGTTACAATATGCGTATGTTATTTTGTGAAAAATATGAAGTCTTGCACCCCGCATGACCATCAAAAATCAAAACAAACAAAAAACCAGACGAAACCAAAAAAAAAAAACTACCACCACCACCAACAACAATAAAAAAAACAAAAACAAAAACAAAACCCTCTAAAAGTAAAGATAGAGAAAATTCTCAAATAAGTCTTTCAAATTATGTTTTGGCCTGTTTCTCAGTCAACATCATGGAGGCAAAAATATTTTTATGTTAATTAAAAATTACACACAGCATCAGAGAGGAACATGGAAATATCAATCTAAGCATTCTGGGAGCTAGTTTTGGCGGTTTTACTGTCCTAGTCTTTATCCCGGGAGTGCCCTGTTGAACCTAGCACCTGGGAACATTCCCCCCTCCCCAGAGGGAGTTGAGTAGCCTGTGAATCCAGTGACTTGAGATGTTTCACCTTGTTCTGCCTCATTCCAGAACTTGTAACTGTAAATAGACCCTACCAGGAAACAGAACCAACTCTGGTAGGCAGGTCTTCTGGGACACCAGAACCTGGTAGTCTGAAGGCTGGCCTTGTTCCCATGGGCTCCTCTAACCAGTCGTAACGCTCACTTGCAGAGTGACAAGTGACAGAACTGTGAGATGCAGAAGTCCTGGCTGTGATGGTGATGACCACAGGACTTCAACAAGGATAACATTTATTGTCTGAAGCACTCACTCGGCAGATCCTTCTGGGCTGTCTCCATCCAGTTCTAAAATTCCAAGAGTCCCATCCATAGTCAGACACAATAACGACAGCCCAGCACAAGGATCCTCCCTACAGCCTCGGTCCTTAATCCATCCTCCCTTAAGAGCCAGTGAGAAGGCAAAAGAAACTGACTTACCAAGCCAACTTCTGTTTAAATACACAGACACAAACACGGGAGGGACTGTGAAGAAATCTACTACAGAATTCACTTCCAGCCAGAACCACAGCTTATCGTTGGCTGCAATAAACTGGGAGAAAAGAGAAATAAGACAGAAAAACAAAATGAGAAGCATGGTGTCAGCACTTAATATATGTTCTTTTGTCAAAGGATAAATGTTGGGTATCTGTGGGGTCTGGAAGGTGATGTTCTGCTCTTCTCATATTTTTCTGTACATCAGTTGCTAGCTTGTTTGGACGAATGCACAACCTTTTTTAGAAAATGACTATATGCCACATTAGTCTCAGAGAATGATCAGGCAACATTATTTCCTGTGGTCCCTGACAGTCTCATGGAGAAGGCTGAGTAATCTCACTTTCCTTGGTCTTTCTAATGTAAATCTAACCGTGAATAAAGCACATATATGTGCATTCACACATGTCTGCACTTCCATTCAAAACTCTCCATGACACCATCTAGTATGGACCCCCAAATCCCACCAGCTTTCACTCCTGGTTGGACCTGATAGTTACAATCTCAACACTGTGAAATATAAATTGGCAAGCTTAAGATACTTGTTTTTTGTTTTTTTTTTTTTCAATTTACCTTTTAGTACAAAGACCACATTGGTGTTTAAATAGAGAGGACTGGGAAACACTGAGTAAGTGAAAGTATCATTGTCTCAAACCCCCTCCCCGCTTGAACCAAAATACACACATATTACAGAAAAATGCCCAGCTAAGCCATGGGCTTTCCCACAGACCCCAAACCAGAAAGCAGGTGTGTTTGTCCACCATGGAGACCTCAGGTGTCACACTGCCTGGGAAAGCCGTCACAGGTGGCATTTTATCCTGGAGTTTCAGATTCTCACACCCCACTGCGGTACCTACGGGGTGATGTTGCCAAACTTACCCGCAAGCCAAAGTAGAGAAGGAAGAACACGTTGAAAGCCATGTCGATCTGTAATGTGAAATCTTTGTAGAAATTCTGGCAGGATTCTATTGGGCTAGTAGATGGGAAGAAGAAAAAGCAAGAAGTAAATAAAAGACAAGGCCAACCTCATTCCAGCTTCCACAATGCTGAGAAACGGTGTGTGTGTGTGTGTGTGGGGGGGGGTAGAGGACAAAATGAATGCTCACTGAATACATTTGGTCTTTCTACCCCTTGTGACCATCAAGCAAGCATTAGCCAAAGGGCTTTCCATTCAACCATTCAGTGTTTGGTTCTTTTATTTGCTGGGGAGGGGTGTAATTTTAAATATTATTTTTTTAATAGTCATTCAACAGTTGATCTAAGACTCAAAAGAGGATCATGCAGACTCCTTGGAGGAAGGACAAGCAGGAAGGACTACCAAATTCTTTGATTTCACATTAACCCTTAAAGAACTGATTTCTTCGGTTAAAAGGACTCATGACAAGGCTAAAACTTCAGACCCTATGCCCCCCAGCCCATTAGAAGTGGAGCCCATTTTCCAGCAGTTACTTCTGGATCTTATAAAAAGCCATTAGCAGATTTGTAAAGGACCCAGGAGCATCTCAAGAGAGCTTTGGGGGAGAAGATCCTGGTTACTGTTCTGGCTAGACGAAGCACGGACTTCCTGCATGGTACTCTGCATGGGGAAGGAAGCAATGTTCAACAATAAAATTCCAAGACCATTAAATTAATGTACGGAAGCAGTACTCTAAGGGTTAATTTTGTTTGTTGTCGTAGTTGGCATGCAGGTTAAGGGGCTTTGTGTGTGTGTGCCAAGCAGCCAATTCGCACCCCCAGCACACTCTCCTTTGTTCAAGAGTCGGCAATTCTAAAGGGTACCACTATACAAACTGGTACATGGCTTCCATGAGATTTCCCACAGCAAACTGATCAGAGCACCACTGTGTGAGCAGTCCCGAAGTTTGGACCAGGTGGGAAAGCATCAAAGTCTCACAAACATCTCAATACTATAAAAGAAATTCCAGCATACTGCTGCCTGTAAGCAAATGGAAGCAGGAATCATAAGATGGTGAGGTGAGGAAAAGGGAGGGAGAATGGAGAGATCCTCCCCCATTCTTCTTTAGATGGGAAGCAAACATGGACCTCTCCCCCCAAGAGAGAGGGAGCTGGAGAGGTGCATCAGGGAAGATTTCTGAACAGCGTTGCCACTTTAGAAATCATTGCATACGATACCAGTTAGTATAGTTGTACTTCAGTCAGGGTAATGCTTGGCTGTTCAACAGGCAGGAATCGGTGCAGCCTGGGAATGCAGGGCCCACTCAGAGGCACAGTAAGTCAGTCTATGGGAACTTCCAGTCATGTGACATGCACTGGCTTGCCCCATTCTTCATTGGGATTCCAAATCAAACATGCCCCTTGTTGCGTTGCAAACCACTGATACGTGATAACCCTCCACACACAAAGGTCCGCTAACCTATTCTTGCATTTACAAAGTCAGCAGACTGAACAAAGGCAACAGAAAATGGTTCTTTCACAAAAGGAATGGCAACTGTCAGTTCTCACGAAGGCAGGAAAAGTGAGAGGGGAGGCAGACTGGAATCTGGTTTGCCCAGTGCTGCAGAGAGGCAGGAACAACAGCTTACAGGGAACAGCCCACCACTGTTCTTTGATTGTCACTGTGGCCCCACCCCACCCCCAGCATGCACTTCAATGAAAACCAGGGCCTGTGGTTAACAAGGGACTTGTCCGCAATTCTTAAGCTATGGTGTGGTATTGCCAAGAACAAGAATACACTGTGTTCCTAAAATGTGCATATGCATAAAGGTTGACAGGAAAGATCATAAGTTGACAGTATGTGTCTCTGTAGTAAAGAGCCACTGGCAATATACACAATTAATTAATAAATTAAGTGGCGTGTGTGTGTGTGTGTGTGTGTGTGTGTGTGTGTGTGTGTGTGTAAGAGAATAAGTGAGTGAGGAGGCAAGAGATTTGTAAATAAGCATCACACTCACATGCACCATTGTGCTAGCAGGAACTTGGCTTCTGAATTAAAAGTCTACAGTCATCTATTTTGTTGTACACACAGTCAAGGGAACCAAAGGAAAGCCTTGGGTCCAGGTTCACCAAGGAACATCCATAATTACTTCATTAAGGCCAAGCAATAAGCTCAACATTGCCTTCCCAATACTCATCGATGGAGATGTGGGTGGATTTGGGTGCTCTCATGAGTTCTCTAGTGCCTATTAATTCCAAGAGTTTGTGGATTAATTTAGGGGTTTCTTGGAAAAGATTTTTCTGGACTGTGGTAGAGAGATGGCATTTTAGTGTCACTGGGGTTATTTTTGCTCAACATAAATGGGAAGAGATATTCAAAGAAGAATAAACAAGCAGGCCACAGCAACTCTTCTCCATTGTTCCTTGATTTCCTGGCCTTTTTTTTTTTCTGGTCCTTTCCATATTGTACAATGTTTAAGTGCAACAGTGAAAAGGTTTAAAGGATGCCATGTTGAAAACCATATGTCAACAATCCACCCCCGTTTATAGAAAGTAATAGAGAAAACATAATAGACCTTCTCATTGGCTGTTCAAAATTTAGAACTGTCTTAATCATCCCTTCCTTACCATCCACAGAGTTCTACTTGCGCAAAAACAATGAAACAAGCTGTTCTGCTATTGAGTGGCTCTTCCTCTAGCTGAGGTGCAAGGTATTAGAAACACATCCTGAACTATGGACAATGTTGGGATAAGGGGCAAAAGGTGGGGAATTCTGAGACAAAAACTGAACTGAGCCTCTGGGACCTCTGGTGGAATTGGAACATTCTGGGGATGTATTTTATATCCCTTTCAGCAACTTTCCCTGCCATGGGAGTACCGGGAACAACACCCTGCATGGTTTTTCAAGTGCCAACAGAACTAGTTATCAAGGATCCCTTCTGAGATAAATCCTCTGAGTGTCTATAGTTCATGCTCTCACACAATCAGAGGCCACAGAGTGGAGATGCCAAAGCCCCATTATTTCATTCCCCAAATGGAAACAACCCATGGAGTTCATTGATCATTTAAAAAGAGAATCCCTAACTCAACAACCAAAAGGCTGGCCTATCAGGATTTATTTTTCTCCCCAAGAGACTTTCTCTTGGTGACAATTACTCATTGCAGGAGGAAACCGAAATGGAAGCGCCTCTTCTGTCTTGTGCAAAGCCTCAGAGTTTCCTTGTCTATATTCGCAGACAGCAGCAGGGAAACAGGGCTTCTATTTAAAACCACAAAAGAAAATGACTCTGAGTCACATTCTTAAATTTAGATTGCCATTCTGACGAGGCATGCCCACATCAGAAAAGGCTTTAGGTGAACATGCAAAGCCAACTGGGGGTGGAGGGCGTAAGAATAGAAAGAAGACACCAGTTCTAACTCAGAGAGCAGCAATCTGGCCAACCCTAACTCATGCCTAGTTCATGAGTAACTGGGGAAGAAGAGGATGTAATTCTTGTATCCGATGGACTTTTCCTTCCTAGTTTCCTACTATCTATACGGATTGGGCATGATATTGAAGCTTTGGGGACATTTAGTATGTTGATGAGAAATCTAAGATTGAGGACCTTTCTAAAGATCCCCACTACAAAGCTCCTTTTGATGGGACAGGTGCAATAGGACATGGCTGGAATATGAACTTCTTAAAAGCAAATGCTTAACATTCATTGTCTCCAGAGGAAATAAGATACTCTGTATGAAAATGAATCTCTTTCTACATCCACCGAACAATAAAATTTCCTTTAAGTACCCTTGAACATGATGACTCCATAGATGGAATTTCCTGAACTTGGCTTTGGAGCTTGTCAAAGCACAGGGTAAGAGCTTTCCTGGGTTCTCCTTCCAAAGGCCACCCTTTGAAATCCTGCGTCATCTCGAAGGGGGAAGTACTGACCCTTCTCCTAAGTTTCCATCCTTCGCCTCATATCCCCAAACTCTGTTTTTCTACCTCCTGCCTTTGACTGCATGAGGCTAGGTCTTCCATATTGTGGTTTCGGACTCTGGCCTGCACCTGCAGGGCTTTGCTAAAGCTTGCTAGGCTTCAGCTCCAGAGTTTCTGACTCACTACTCTGGGTTAGGGATCTAACATTTAGCTTTTTCCTCAGTCTCCCAAATTCTGCTGACGCTGTTGTCTGGGAACCCCACTTTGATAACCACAACTTCAGAAGAATTTCCTAGCAACTGTGCACTAATTACAGGTACTACTGCTCAAGAAGACTCCCATTCAGACCTGAACAGAGACGATTCGGAGTTTGAGCCTGTCCTCAGACAACCAGCTGCATACTACTTAACTAATTGCTAAGATCAAGGCTTTGAACAGATATTTTCAGTTTCAGATATGGACAGGAGGGAAAGGACTAAAAACATACAGGGGTATAATTACAACAGCATCCTATATGCTTTGACAGTGGATGTTCCAATGAACAGTCAGAGAGTACATTCTCAATTCTAGATTAGAAGGGAAAAATGAGGAAGTCTAGATGGCAAGGGGTGAAGGGAACAGTGGTTTACGGGGAATAAGGAAATGTTCAGCAGCTTAGGAACACAACAAGCATTCAAGATGATTTAAGAGGGAAGGGACCGGTGGAGAAACAAAATAGCACTTTGCGCAATAATTTCTAACATTCAAATTCTCCCCACTCTTGAAGGCTAGTTCCTTTTAAAATTGAATGGGGCTTTCTCAATCTCCACCAGGATTATGGACCACCAGAGGTCAGATTCAAGGCACTGCAGCCATGAATCAATTCAATAAGCTCAATACTAGCAGACTCTACTCATCCAGCTCACCACTGCAATGTTGCTAGATTAATCTCATTAAAAGATGTCATTCATGGAGCACTAGGGACCCTTCTGTCTCCAATATCAACTCTGAGTCCAGCTGTGAAGAACTCCAAAACCTACTTTATTCTCAAGTTCCCACTCTATGTTGTGTTGTTTTGTTGTTGTTGTTTTGCTATTTGCTTTAGGTCAAACCCTAAACAAACCACAAGCTGATGTCTTTGTTCCCTCAGGAATGAGACCTAAATATTGCCAACTCTAAAT